GATATCATGCTTGGTAAAGTGGAGGGTCAACGAAAAAGGGGAAGGCCCTCAATGAGATGGATTGACACAGTAGCTGTAACAAGGGGCTCAGATATAGTAAAGATCATGGGGTGGGTACAGAACCGTGCAGGATCTCATTCTGTTGTACATGAGGTCACTATGAGTCAAAGACTCAATGGCACGTAACAACAGCAACAATATTGGATAATTTGGTAATACATAAATACACACACACACATACACACAAGTATCTGTTAACCTAATTATATCATGCAAATACCCCAGACAGGGGAGGGAGGAAAAATTACATACTAGAACTTTTACTCTTTTGTTAATGGTAAAAAACAATTTTCTCAGGATCTATACATATCTTTCACATTTTACCCCAAAAAGTTACACTAATTACAAAGACTTTACTATAATTATCATTGCAGTGACTGATTTGGGAATTATGTCAGGTTGGTGGTCTTTTAGCTATATAGATTTGCCTAGAGCAACACAGAAATCAGATCTTAAAATAACTAGCAGTAAGCTTCCTCAAGAGTAGATATTAACTGATACCCTGCTTTTATCAGCAAGCACATATATATCTCTTGGGGGCAACCAGAGACAACTTAATAGGTATGTAATTCAGTCATTGACTCCATTTCCCCCCTTAGCACTGAAAAAAATGCCTTCGAATTAAATAGAATATGATGCATCATGAGGATGTGAAAGATTAGTTAGATTAATAATTATAACTAACACTTATTGAGCACATACTATGTGCCAGGCACAGTTCAAAGCCTTTCATATGTTAACTCATTTAATTTTTTGTATAACCAATGTGGTGGATATAAACCTTATATTGACACAAAGAAATAGTGGAACAGAAACCATGATGCTTTTGCAGAGAGGTCTCAAATGAGAAACATAAATATCCCATGACTACAAGTGGAGATGAAATACTACTATTCAAAAGGCTGAAAATGGTTTACATGAAGACAACAACAGCAACAACAAAAGTTCTGAGGTTTCTTAAATGCTATCTATAAAAAAATAAAACATTCCATTTTCCAATTACTCTTACTATGCACTGAACCCTAAAGTTTATAAAACCATTTCACAAAGATCTTATAAAATCAAGGTCTTGAGCCTAATTAGGAGTTCTAGTGGCATAGTGCCTAAAGCATTTGACTACTAACCAGAAGCCTGGTGGTTCAAACCTACCAGCTACTCCTCGGAAGGAAGATTGGGCAACCTACTTCCATAGTGATACTGCCTCAGAAACCCAAGGAGGGGTCACTATGAGTCAGATCTGACAAGATGGTAGTGAGTTTTGAGTTTGAACCTAATTAAATGCATTTCCCAGTATTGTATATTTTCTTTTCACATGTCCGCACTGTCAACCATTCGTGTTTAAATAACAATTTGCGATGCAGGGAAGTTACTAGGTTTAAGTAATCCAAATGGACTTTAAAGCCTGGACCAAACTAATGAATATTAAAATTCAGTAAAAAATACCCTTCAGACATAGTATCACACAAGCATATGTACAAAGCACAAACAGGTGCGCATCCCTCACTTGAAGGAATACACACAAAGATCTTCTCTACCTACAATTCTGTTTCTTGCTGAGGATGGAAAGAAGGTTGATTCATCTTCAATGAGGAAGAGCTCCTGCCGATGTCTGGTGAATTGAGCGGTGAAATATTCAGGATAAGGATTTGTCACATTCTTTTCAAGCTTCAGAGGCCCAAGCACACAGCTAAAAGGGTTTCGATTGGGTGGGGGAATATCACTCTCCTTGATAGGCATTTTAATGCCCAGCACTTCAGCATAGGTAACTAATACCTCCCAAGGAGCATGGATCTTGACAAAGTAAGTTTTGCCATCTTCAGAGTCCTGTATGAAAAGGAGACAAGATAACAGAAAATATATTGATCTGCTTATTACTGAGCTGACTGAAGAAATGAAATAAAATTTTTATAAAATCTCAAAGGTGTCTCAAAACCAAAAATCAAACTCACTGCCATTGAGTCAGATCCGACTCACAGCAACCTCTCCTTGGGTTTCCGAGGTGGTATCGCTGCAAAAGTAGTACTTTAAATTTATTTAATTTTTTCAACCAAACTTCTAAAAAAGCAAATTTTAAAAAGATATACATACATATGGTGCTCTGATGGTATAGTGGATAGGCATTTGGCAGCTAACCAGAAGGTCAGTGGTTCAAACCTATCATCCACTCTGTGGAAGAAAGATGGGACAATCTACTTCTGTAAAGATTTACAGCCTTATAAATCCAGTGGGGATCACTATGAGTCAGAATCGACTCAATGGCAGTGAGTTTGTTTGTTTAATGCATACACGTGCACACATATATATGTAAGCAATCACACACATACACATGCACACACACACACACACATGTACTTTCATTTTTCCTCTCTCTCTCTCTCTCTCTCTCAGGAGCTCTGGTGGCGTAGTGCCTAAGGCACTTGAGTGCTAAGCAGAAGGCTGGCGGTTCAAACCCCCAGCCACTCCTCGGAAGGAAGGTTGGGCAAGCTACTTCTGTAGTGATACCACCTTGGAAACCCAAGGGGGGGTCATTATGAGTCTGGTCCGACTCAACAGCACATAACAACAACAACAACTCTCTCTTACAGACCAACTGGTGGGTTGAACCACCAACCTTTTGGCTCAGCCAAGAACTTAACCATTGCTACACTTAGGTTACTTTGAGTCAGAATCAACTTGATGACAAACAATTACGTGTGTGTGTGTGTGTGTGTGTGTGTGGAGAGAGAGAAAGAGAGAGGAAAAACATAATTAAATAGATAGGTAGGTAGATAGATAGATAGAGAGAGAGAGATAGTAGATAGATAGATCTAAATGTAGATGTAGCCCAAAGTCCACAGCAACCTGTGTGGTTCTGAGCCATCATTAAATTTTTAGAGATGAGCCCAGAACTGTGTGTTTGGGTTCTATGAGGAATATACACAAGTATCAAATGTACTCATTTTTCTAACCTGGTTTGTGTGTATAACCTACACATAGAGGAAGAGGTTTAGATAATAAGGGTTCATTACAGAGGAAAATAAGTTATAAATTAAGTGTGATATAATACACATTTATCACTTCAGCTTAAAAAGAGGGATATATAAGAACTACACAGCATTAATTTAGAAGTTAAGAATTGTAGAGGTTTCAAGAAATGAAACCTGAAATGAATTTTAAGACCTGAAGTAGGTATATAAAAACAACTTACAAGGATATTCTAGAAAACCACTCAATGGCTGGAGGTCAAAAGAGAACCTGGCACACTGATGCAACAGAAAAAGAATGTCTTAGCTTAAATAACAATTTGTGCTGGAAGTTATCCAGGTGAACTAACTAGGGGACCACACTACAGGCAGCCTTCAAATGAGCCAGTGAGGAAGCAAAGCCAGGGTCTGCATTTTTCCTTTCACCCTGGATTGAAGTTATACATATCTATTCTTAGAGTGCTCCACTGATTGTCTCACACTTAAAGCACAGATCTACTTACCAGGAAGAAGACAGCCCTAACCATCTCAAGCTCACATCTCTGTAGCCAAAAGTACTATTTTATCGTCGCATACATGAAATTTATCATGTCAAAGGCCAGAATAGAAGAAAATAACACTTAAAACACCAAGCTTCTGGTATAAATGAACAATTATATTTACCCTTTTGTCTTCAGTTTCCAACTCAAGTCCTGTTTTTCTGAGATTTATTTCAAACTCTCTTCTTCTATCCTATGGCAAAACAAATAAACAGAATTATGCAGAACACTTTTCTTGTTTTTGTCCAGTGACATGTAGTCATTACAGAATGACTGTGCTATGCGTAAGGCTCTCTGCCTGTCCCACAGTTGTATAAAAGAGTACTGTATGTACGTATCGGCTCTATCTTGGCACCATGTACTGCTTTTCACCTATAATATGATTCTCAAGATGGGAGGAAAGAATTTGAGAAATGGACAGTAGTTTTTGTGGACACTGGGATCAAAAGAAGTTATTATTAGGTTTTTTTTTTTTTTTTTTACCTTTCCTTTTTAAGTTGGGAGAATTAACAGATATTTATGTATTAGAGGTTATGGCCCAGTAAAGAACAAAAAAGACAAAATGCAATTTAAGAGAGAGAAGAAAATTTAGTTATTGTGATATTCTTAGGTAGGTGTGCATGGGCATAGGACTACTGTACTTAGAAACATCTGTTGGCAAGATTAGTTCTTAGTTAGCAAAAATAGGAAAAAGCAGGTAAGAAGCAATGAAAAGATTGAATGATAATTGTTTTGAGGATCCTGGCGGTTCAAACCCACCAGCCACTCCTCAGAAGGAAGGTTGACAATCTAGTTCCATAGTGATACCACCTCGGAAACCCAAGAAAGGGTTGTTATGAGTCAGGTCTAACCTGTTGGCATTGAGGTTTTTTTTTTTTTTTTTTTTGATGGGACTGTAGGATTGAGGGTATAGGTCAAAAATACTTAAGCAGTTGGTCAGACAGCTGAGCATGGAATAAAATTATAAAAGTGTGCAGTTATTAGTAATGACAAGTTTCAGTGGGAAGTAAATGGCTAAATTGGAGTAAAAGCTAAGATGTTTGAAAAAGGGGAGTTCAAGAAACAGAGCAATGTTTTGTTCTGTTGTACACAGGATCACTATTAGTCAGAGCCAACTCGATAGCACCTAACAACAAGATGAAGCAGAGAAGCTAGAGTGCCAAACTAATTATCTATATATTTATAGAAGTTATCTAATTAAAAAAAAAATTGGTGGAGAGACTGACATTGAACTAGGAGCTAAAATTATCGAGAAATAAAAGGGAAGATGCAGGGATTCAATAGATGACAACAGCAATGCAGGGTAGTGATAATCTGATAAAATGAGATTTAGATATCAGGAATTTTAGAGAAAAAGAAGGGAGAATGGATTGTAATCAACAATAAGATACAGGGACGGTGGCCACTTACCCTGTCTCCAAGGAAAGAAAAAAAAAACCTCCACTTCCATCGAGCCAGATCCAACTCATAGTGACCCCTCCCTCCTCGGGTTTCTGAGATGTTATCACTACAGAAGTAGATTGTTCAACCTTTCTTCCCAGGAGTGGTTGGTGGTTTTGAACTGCCAGCCTTTTGATTAGCAGTCAAGTGCCTTAGGCACTACACCACCAGAGCTCCCAAACAATGACAAGGTAACAAACCTCAATCAAGTGTCAGGTTTGAAAAGGCCATTCAGAGAAGAGGTGAAGATGATGATGGACATGAATTATAGATGTTTGGTAGAAGGGTTTTCTGAGAGAAGGCAGAATAAAGGGACAGAACTGGACATGTACACGGCCTTTTGTAGATTATATCTACAGATATTTTAAAAATTTTGCATGACATTATATAATGTAGCATAGTGCCTAAGGCACTTGACTGCTAACCAGAAGGCTGGCAGTTCAAACCCACCAGCCACTACTCAGAAGGAAGGTTGGGAAGTCTACTTCAATAGTGATACCACCTGTGAAACCCCCTAGGAGTCGCTGTGAGTCAGGTCTGACTCAAGGGCACATAACAACAACAACATATAAGTAAATACATACTGTGTGTAGATTAATTTATTAATTTGTTATTTCAAATATCTAATAATTACTGAGTATTCACTATGCTCAAACCACTGACTTAGCCTTTGGATGTACAGCAATGAGAATGTCCTTGGCCTCAGGGAACTTACAGTAATGGAAACATAAAATAATCAAGTAAAAATAAATGAATTATTTAAGCTCAGAAAGTGGTAAGTGTTATAATAATGATATAATATGATAAGGAAACAGCATAATGTGAAAGTGATTTCAGATAAGATGGATTAGTTGTAACTTTTCAAAATGAAAATTGCATACAATAGATAAAGACTATATGCTGACGTCTATCTCAAATTTCATAGTCCCATTTAATATCTAAATAAACCTATATAAGAAAAACATTATCTATGTAAAGATCCAAAAAATAAAAGTGTTATGACACTTCCAGTCTTAGGCTGCCTCTCTGGCACTCTCCTCACTCAGTTTCAGCTTTCAGTATCACTTCAGAGACCTTTGACTTAAAGGAAATAATTCAATGGGGACATCTATTTCAAACTATAGGATGTGTTTCTTTTTTATTTTTCCTGTTTTTAATTCACTAAGTACTTACCACCTTTATGTCTCCTTCTCTCCTTACATCATCAACATAGGAAAGCACAAAATCAATTTGCCTAATCCCATCTCTGAAGAAGATAGAATCCTTGCTTTGGAGACTTCTTTTAAACTGCAGGGAATACAAATAACACAACTTCAAACTATAGTTTTATTCTGAAATTATAAAAACATGGGAAGAGTTTTCAACAATTTGGTCACCAGCTCATTTTCTCAGCCCTGAAATGCAAGGCCAAGAATACCAGAGTTTTCATCAACAGAATATTATACTTGTTTTAGTAAGTGAAAATTCCACATAGTGATAAGAATGTTAAACGACAAAGACTTAGGAGGAAGCTAAGCATATTAACTACATGCACATATAAGAAAACATTACAATTATGCCAAAAATTAAAATGAATATATGTGTACATTGACCCTAAATTGTATGTTCAGAGAGATTTGTTATCTTAATTAAACAACATACTAATGAGTCAACACAATAATCCATCATTACATAAAACTCTAATGTGTAGAATTAATAAGACCATATTAAAACCTCACTGTAAGAAAACTAACTTATGATTAATATGTATACTATGTTCTCATAAAATTTTCATTTTCCAATTAAATTTTTAAAGAGTAGAAACCAAAATCAAGGTGCAGTTATACATTAGAAAGCAGATAGCTTGCCAGCTGGTCTCACAACAAGTTAAGTTTTCATGCAAAGCTCCTTTCAGCATCAATTTCCCAAGTGAGTCAAAATTAATCCTTTGTTTGCATTTGATTATCAATTCTCAGTATAATCGGCAGACTTGTAAGTTCAAGTTTCCATGTTGTTCCCTTTCAAAATGGCAGAAAAACTTTCACAAAGTTTTCCTATTTCCCTGATCCAGTCATCTTCACAGTTTCTATGCACTATGTACAACTTTACACTTGTAATGGCTAATATGTAACATATACCCATTGCCATTGAGTCGGATCCCACTCATAGCGACCCCTCCTTGGGTTTCCAAGGCAGTATCACTTCAGAAGTAGACTGCCCAACCTTCCTTCTGAATGTAACATATAGAATGATTCAAATAGATGATCCAGTGGATTTCTCTCACTTTGTGATACAGTTACAATATAAACAACCTTCCAATTGCTTTAGCTAACCTGATAATAGGGAGCTGGATGAGTTTAATTTTCCTAACCAGGATATACAACAGTTTATGACTTTCTTTTAAGGTTTTCTATACTGCTTTATCACTCTGATCAGGCTAGCCAGGCCTCCCATAAAAGGGAACAAATGTAGATCAGATGTGCATAAGTCAGACAAAAACCTCTCCTTTGATCTGCAGTCTAAGAACAGAGTAACTGTATTTTTATAGACAAGTGATGATTGATAAGTCTCAGAAAGGACTACTCCAACCTTCAGGAGAAGACAGGTAGAAAATGAATAAAGAAACAAAAAGCAACCAATGAGCCGAGAGATTAAGCAGAAAATAAGGGAACAAAATTGTCATGTCTGAGTTCTCTACACTCCAACCAAAAGGTGCATACTGACCTCCCTTTTCCTAAAAGAAAGTAAGGGAACCTAAGAAAACTCAAAGTACCATGTTACACTTGATTATAAATCACTAAAAAAAAAAGAAAAGAAAGGAATAAAGCATCGGCACTCTTGGAAATCGCTATAGTTTAAGCCTATCTTACGACATTTACCAAAACTGTGGAAACCAATTGAGGCAGAAAATATCCTCATTAGATTAAATATAATTAAAGCATTAAATTAGAGAAGAAAACAACTGTGCTTTAAGTCTTTGATAGCTGTATTTTTGTTTTTGCTTTTTTTAAAAATGACTATATAGAATTAGTCATATTGTTCAGACAAGCTAAATCTGGGTGCACAAAGCAGCTTTGGTAGCAGATGTGCACATGAGAATCAACAAAAATCACACTGGGAGTGTCTGAGGACTAGAAATAAACAAAGTAGGTGAAAAAAAATGACTGTAATTATTTTTCTGACTCTCAGTCAAAATGGGTATATGTACCTTCCTTCTTCTGAAAGCCAAAGGCTAATACTTAGGAAACCCAAATTTCCATCATTATGTTGTACCCACACTATAAATTGTAAAGTTAAATTTACCCCCCACCCAAAAAAAAAAAAAAACCCAGAAAACTTCTGTGGTCGTTTTCTAAATTACCATGAGGAACATATCTTAGGACTTTAATGAAAACGGTTGAAGCCATCTATGACCAAAAAAAAAGCCTGATAATTTTACCACATGTAATTGAGTATTATTAAAATACTTTTTTTTTTTTTTT